TTAATAATTGTTGCATTTTTATAAAAAAAAGAAAATGTATTTTATATAAAAAAAAAAATAATAAAAAAATATCTTATCAATATCTAAATTTTCATACCAACCACACCATTTGAAAAAAAAATATTTTATAAATACTTTTTTTTAAATCTTATAAAAAAAATAATAATAATAATAATAATAATAATTAATAATCATTTACAAATTTGGCCAACTTTGATTTTAATATTTACTTGTGTTTTAAAACCCAATAATAAAATACACCAAGAATATATGATTTAATATTAATAATAAAATAATTTGAATTTGTTTTTTTTTATAATAATTTTTTTAAAATAATTATTTTATTTAAATAATATTTTGGCTTTTTATTTATTTGTTAAAAAAAAAACACAATACTGTATTTTTTATAAAATATTAATTATTTATTTATTTATACCCTATTTCATATAAATATTTATTTTAATAAAAAAAAAAAAATAATAAAAAAATAATAATAAAAATAAAAAATAGTATAATTTTAAAATGGAATCAATAAAAGATCGTAAACCAATATTTGAACAACACTTTTCAAATAATCCATTATCAATTCCACATGAAATCAAAACAAATAATATTCACAAATCTTCATTTTTAGATGCAAGTTTATTAGAGTTACCAAATATCAGTGTGGATAAATCAAATAATTCAACATTTTCTTTTTTAGATCAACTTTTAATAGATAAATATAAAGGTAATATTCAAAAAAAAAAATTTTAAAAAAAAAAAAAAAATCTAATAAAATTTAAATTTTAGAAAATGAAACGCAGATCAGAAAATTTATTAAAATAAAAAATAGTAATAATGAAAGTAGAGTTTTAATAATTGATAAAGACACCTTTTCAGACCTATTTAAAATATATGATAAAGATATAATTAATAATATATTTTTATTATATTCAAATAATCCTACTTTAAATAACAATACTAAAAATAATATAATCACCAATAATAGCAATGTTAGTAATAAAAGTAAAAAAAATAAAAGAAAGAAATCAGAAGATAATAAAAATACAGTTGAAACCATAATACCTATTAACAATAATGATCAAAATAACAATACCAATGCTTTAAAAAATCCAATTGGTGGGGATTCATTTCCAATTCCAGTTGATTCTTTTAATTCAACATCCAATAGCTCAGATGAATCATATTCGTTAACAAATTCTAATGATCCTCAAACATCCTCTTCAAACACTTCACTTAATACCACATCTATTTATTCAAACCCAAGCAACTCCTCAAGTCTAGGATCCCTCTCAAACACTAGCTCAATTAATTCAGGTGTTAGTACCGATACAAGTCCATCATCAAGCAAAAGCAATATAAGTTCCAGTTTCATTGACCATTCAAATTCTTTTAAAACATTTGGTTCTTCATTAGAGGAAAAATCTCGTTATCTATCTTCAAATAGCACTGAAAGCGAAACATCACCAAAATCAATTAAAAACAATAGCAGTAGAAACTCAACAACAATAACCAACCTTGAAGAAAATAATCAGGATTTTATTGATGATCATGTACCAATTGAAATAACTCCAACCAATTGTGACTCCCCATTTCAATTCATTAATGAAGATAAAAAAGGAAACAATGAACAAACACTTTCAATTCAACAACCCACAACCCAACCAATATCGCTTCCATGTGATAGTGAAAAAACTAAGCAATCTAAAAAAAAGAGCAAAGAACAAAAAAAAACAATGAAAAAATTAAAGTCTGTAGATTTTTCAATTTTTAAAATTAATTTATTTGATTTAATTAATCAAATTTATTTAAATCTTTCAAAAATTGGAACAGAAGATGAAAAAATATCAAGTAAATATAAAAAAATACCATTAAAACACTATTTTATACTAACAAATCTTTAATTTTATATTATTAGGTGTTTTCAATTTGTATGATATTTATAATAAAGGTTTTATTTCTAGAAATGATTTAAAAGAAGTTTTATTATATAGAACAAATCAAAATGGTTTAAAACTATCAGACTTCACTTTAGAAAGTTTAATGGATCATATTTTTGAGCAATTTGATAAGAATGCAGATGGTTTTATTGATTTTAATGAATTCAAACAAGAATTAAAAAACAATGACAATGAAAACAAATCAAAATACAACAAGGGTGATATAGAAATGAACAAAGTCGAAGAAAATGAAAATGAAAATGAAAATGAAAATGAAAATGAGATTGAAGGTGAAGAAAACTCATCAAAATATAATATTAAAAGGTATTTCAAAATTGAAGGTTCAAAATTATTTTTTATGGCCTTATTCTTAATAGTCAATATCACAATTTTAATTTATAGCTTTTTCTTGGTACATGATAAAAACCAAAAAGCAATTCAATTATTTGGCCCAGGTTTATACATTACTAGAGTTGCTGCACAATTAATCGAATTTAATGCAGCTATGATTCTAATAACAATGTGTAAACAATTATTCACTATGGTTAGAAATACAAGATTTAGAGGTCTATTCCCAGTTGATAAATACATGACATTCCACAAACTTATTGGTTATACTCTATTAGTCGCGTCACTACTTCATACAATTGGTTGGATTGTTGGTATGGCAATTGCTACAGGCAAACCCGATGCCTTGTTTTACGATTGCTTGTACCCACACTTCGAATACAGACCTACAGTTTGGCAAATGATATTTAACAGTTTACCTGGTGTCACTGGTGTAATTATGATTTTAATAATTATAATTATGTGTACTTTAGCAATTAAAACAATTAGAAAATCAAATTTTGAGGTAAGTATTAGTATTAATTCAATTTATATATTTAAAATATCCATACTAATTTTCATTTTTAAAATTAATTTAGCTATTTTATTATAGTCATCATTTATTTATTGGATTTTATGTACTCTTAATATTACATGGAACAATGGGATGGATTAGACCACCTACATTTTGGAAATGGTTTATTGGACCAGGATTTTTATATGCAGTCGATAGAGGTTTTAGACTTTTTAAGAAAACTTATAAAGTTAATGTAGTTGATTTTTCATTGAAAAATGAAAGAGTAATCAATTTAACCTTTTCTAAACCTTCATCATTTAATTATAAACCAGGTCAATATTTATTAATAAATATTCCCCAAATTTCCAGATTACAATGGCACCCATTCACCATGACATCTTCACCATTAGAGGAAAATGTACATGTACATATTAGAGTAACAGGTGGATGGACTAGAAAACTATTCAAGTGGTTATCAAACATTAAACAAGAAAGAGAAAGAAGAATTAATAGTGGTGAAACAACTATAGATGCAATTGAAATTGAAATGGAAAAAGAAAAACCAATTCAAATCCATATCGATGGTCCATTCGGTTCGTCTAGCCAGTATGCACTTAACCAAAGACAAGTTATTTTAGTTGGTGCTGGTATTGGTGTTGCTCCAATGGCTTCATTATTACAAGATATAACAATGAAAAAAGAAAAAGTTTACAATGAAGATAGCATTACAAAGCAAGAGAATGAAACACACGAACAACATTTAGAACGTTTCAATGAAATAAAAAGAAAACATGGTTTAGGAGAGTTAGAGAAGGTTCACTTTTTCTGGTTAAATAGAGATCAAAAATGCTTCCAATGGTTTGAAGATTTATTAATTGATATTTCAAAGAATAGCAATGACGTACCTAAAATATCCATCAATACTTTCAACACCAGATGTTTCCCAAAGAATGATGTTAGAGTATTTATGGTTTGGAATGGTTTAGATAGAATTTTCAAAGCACAAGGTCTAGATCCAACAACCAATTTACCATTCAAAACTCACTGGGGTAGACCAAATTGGGATGCAATCTTTGAATACTACTCTAGAAAATATAGTGGCGAAACTATCAGTGTATTTTGTTGTGGTCCATCCGAACTCTCAAAAGAACTGTATGAAAAGTGTCGTTATAACACATCTTTAAAATCAAATGGAACCAAATTTTATTTCCATAAAGAAAATTTTTAAAATACAATAACAATAATTTTATAATACTTTTTTTTTTTTATAAAAATAAAAATAAAAAATATAAATATTTTTTTTAAAACTATTTTATTTTTAGATTATTTAAAAACTAAAAATAATTTTTTTGATTTATTATATAAAAATTAGAAAAAAAGGTATTATGTAAAAAAACAATGCAGTCGATACAGTTTTATGAGATTTCGATAAAAAATGTAAATCATTTGGTTTAAAAAATGATAAACTACAATGAGTATTTACGCATGGGCTGATGGGTAACATTGGTTCTGTGCAATATAATGACATGCATGACGCTTCCTCTTTACAATATTGATAAACACATGATAGAGGGTTAATTGAAAATGGCTCTGTACAATTGGTTTTAGCAAAGCATTGCATAAAAACCTTTAAAAAAAATAATTGTTAATATGCATTAGTATACATTAAAATTATTAAATAGTACAATACCTTTGCTGCCTCTCTACAATATGAGCCAATATAGGTACCCCTGGATAAGCAATAACCAACACCACTTTTTGGGTCACATTTACAAAACTCATACTCCTTACAATCATTTACCGATTTGCATGGGTTCAATGTATTGCTTGGCGTTCTGGTGCATTCCCCTAAAATAGATCCTTGCTCCAATGGTTTGCACTATATATATATATAACCATTAATATATTTTTTAAATACGTTTTTAAAACTAAATAAAACTACCTACATATTGACCAACATTCCAATCACAAGAGTATTTATTTACTAAACATGGATTTCCTTCAGGGATAACATCTCTGCACTGGCCCACTGATGACTGGTTGAATGACTTTAATGAGCATGGGAGAAAACTGTTTTTACATGATAATGTTCTATATATAAAACATTCATTTTCCTATAATAAAAAAGAAATTTAATAATTTTATTTTAATTTTTTTTATTTTAGAAATATTTTAAACTAGTTACATTTAAATTATATTTTACACATTCTCCATTATCACAAATTGAATCTTTGTCACATTGAACATCTGATAGGCATCCGGTTAATGGTGTGATACATTTGCTACCTATACACTCCAAACCATTTAGACAATCAAAAGATATATTACAAGCACCTCCATATTCTACGTAAAATGATTTTTGGCATGTTTTTATATTATTGCCATTACCACTATTTGTAGATAAGCAACTATATCCTACTAAACAATCTGCTGAATTTTTACATATTGAACCCTCTGGTAAACTTTCTACACATGTTCCATTAAAACATCTATCCTGTACATAACATTGTAAACCACTATTATTTATTTAATATTGTTAATAATGCTTGTATAATTAATTACTTGTCTACAATATCTTTTATTTTATTTTTTTTTTAAATTTCAAAAAAATTTCTATTTTTAGCCTACCCTAGTATATTTTGTTTTTCACATGGTTCCCCCAATTTAGAACAAATATTTAGTGAACAACTTAAACTATCCAAATCTATAAAGCTTGATTTTACATAACACACTATTGTTGACAATAATAAAAACAATAATAATTTAAAACCATTACTAGAAACAACAATAAAACTCATGAATTCTTAAAACCACACAACAAAACAAACATACACATATATAATATATATATAACTTGAAATATAATGTTTAAAAAAAAACAAAATAAAATAATAATGACTTTTAAAAAAATAAAAAAAAATAAAAAAAAATAAAAAAAAATAAAAAAAATAAAAAAAAATATGTGTTTAAGCGTGGTTATAATTATTTATTAATTATTTTAACATCTTTACAAAAAAATAATATCTTTTTTAACGAATAGAAATTTAAAAATAATTATTAATAGGAAAAAAAAAAAAAGCTATTATTAAATTTGGATTAAAAAAAAAAGAAATCTAAAAACTCAAAATAAAAAAAAAAAAATTTTAAGTGAAAAAGTGCAGGCAAAAGATGCCAAAAACAAAACATCCCCACACACTTTTTTTCGCTATTGTAATCATTATTATAAATTTATAATTAATTAAAAAAAAAAAAAAAAAATTTTAAAAAAAAAATTTTCGGTTTATATTTTTTTTTTTGCTCCCAAAATCAAAATCAAACAACCATGAAATTTCATGAAAATATATAGTGTTAATTAATTTAATGAGGACAAATTGATTTAATTATCATTATTTTTAAAAAAAAAAAAAAATTTTAAATTTTTCTCTCTTTTTTTTTTTTTTATTTTTTTTTTAATTAATTAATTTCTTTTTATATGGTCCACATGGCACAATACCCACACCAAAATTGAAATTGTTGCGTTTTAAAGACTGTAAATATATATCTTTTTTTATTAGTGTTTTTTCCTTTTTTTTTTTTTTTTTTTTTTTTTTTTATAAAGTAATTTAAAGATTAATAATAACGCAGTTTTAAAAGTACCAATTTTAAATTAAAATTAATATTTTTTATTAAAGTTTATCTTTTTCATCATCATCATCATTTTATTATTAAAACATTATTAATCCCCTTACCTCCCAGATGTGGAAATTTAAATAAAATAATTAAATAAATAAATCAATCAATAAATCAATAATTTATATTTGTTTAAAATAGTAATTAATTATAATATATAGTCCATATTT